AATATACTGCTTATATCTTCTGTGATAAAGGTCTAGATGAACCACTTTATGCAGAGTTAAATCCCCTGCTTTAATATTCCCTCTGCGTTAGAGGTAGTGCTCTTCTCTGCAGTCGTACCTCGATCTGTTTTTCTTTGCTCTCTAAGTTGGATTGAAGTTGTGCTTTTTGCTTGGTTATCCTTAAAGAAAACAACATTCTGCTGGTGATGTAATTCATCCCTTAAGTTCTGTGTCTTTTCTCCATTTAGGATCTCCCACCAGCCCAGATCACAGCACCAAACGGCAGAGTGATCCCACACCGTTTGGCTTCAGAGGTACCTGTTTGTTCTGTTCCTCTACACTGGAAGGACAGTCGTGGTTTCAAGGATTGATAAGTTTGACTTTGTAAAGCTAAATGGGGCTGAGCTGTACCTCGTGTCCCTCAGGTCCTCCTCCCCTCCACCTGACCAGGGCCAGGTGGTTCAGCACCTCTAGTCTCTTACAGACAAAGTGGAGAGGTATTCTGGCACTGGCTTGCTCATGCTGGTTTTGTCTTAGTCCACTCTTTCACTGCTGCAGACCTTTCACATGGAGCATCTTTTTCTTAGTGAATATGATAGAAAAATCCACTCACACGGAGAGAACGGTTGCCTGACTCTTTTTCATGTCACTCGACTCTTAAACATGCATGCCAGTGTCTGGACACTCGTAGTGGATATAAGGAAGCAGTAGTTGGATCTCTGGGATTAGCTCTGTTTTTCTTTTCTAAAGGCGGATTACAAATTTCAAAAAACTGCTCTAGTTTTTAAGCTGAAACAAATGTCTGGCTTTTTTCTGATCAGGATGGAATAAGACCTCCTTGTCACTGGACGAACAAGACGGCTACTCCAGCGCCGAGGATCCTCTGAACTCTGATCCAGAGGATGAAAACATCAAGAAGCTGGTCTGTCGCAGGGTTTAGCCATCAAATATTATTTCTATTTTTTTCTTAATTTTCTCCTGATATGTTTTCTTTTAGCATTTCATGTAGATGTTTCTCTTGATGGAAACAAAATCTGATTTTTTTTTATTTTTTTTTATTGTGTTGTTACAGAGTGCTGGGAAATACACTGCAATGGCTGACAGCGAGATGGGAGCTGCAGGAGAGATTTTGGTGAAGAGTGGAGACATGGTGAAGCTAGTAAAGGAGGGGGACAATGATCAGTGGTGAGGGCAAATCCTTTACTCTACTCTAGGCACCTTGTCGATTTTAAACAATGTAAACAATATGAATAAAATTTTGTCCTGATTATTTCAAGATCAAATTGAATTTTATGGTTGTGGAAAAGATAAACTGATCAGGAAAGTGTTTGGTGTTCATACCATCTCCATGTGTGCTCTGAGCGTTCGTAATATGAATAAATCACCTGTTGCATCTGACGAAAAGTGTATGTTGTTTGAAAACTTCTTTATTTTAGTAATTTCAATTAAAAATTGAACAAACATAATGCAGTCATAATGCAAAGAAGTCATATTCAACAAATTAATATTTAACTGAAACGCTAATGTGTTTAAGTGTGTAACACAATTAATGTAGATTTACACACAGACTGGTGTTATAAAGCCTTTATTATCTATATAAATCACTGTTATTTTCCACTTACAGCCCATTAAACATCAGACTTTAGCCTTTGTAATTTTCATTTATTTATAAACTCCAATCTAAGTCACCTACTGTTAGTCATTTCTTAGGTCTCTACTTTGCAGATATTTTTATATCTAACGCAAACATATTCCAGGACATTACAACTTTTTTTTATTGCTGTTTTCTACTACGATATATTTACTATTTTTATATTGTCTGTTGTATTTGTATCTTTAATGGCATCATGCTTTAACCAATGGATAAATAAAACTGAGTCTAAGACTTTAGTACGTCAGGTGTCATTTAGTCAGATTCTGAATTGATCTTAATTGAATTGAATGCTGTTGTTAATGTTTTTGGTTTATACCCCAGAAAATTAAACAGTGAAAATATTGCTTTTAGAAGATTAGAATATAAAATGATGCACCTCAAAATTGGCAGAAATATTGTTGCCTACTATGTAATACAGCCTACCTTAGCTTAAAATGTTGTAGACTAGCATTTAAAATAATTTAACTCTATTTATGTAATATCCAAACAATAATAGCATAATAGCTTCAGAGGAAATAGAATCATATTAATTACTTTCCATTTTTTATGAGTTTGCAGGTCAGTGTTGATTTCCCCAAAAAGTAACACTGCTTTTGCACACAGGTTTGTCCGCAACCTGAACACATCTAAGGAAGGCTGGATGGCTGCGGCTAATCTTATCACTCTCATTGGGAAGTCCAAGTCTTGTCAGTCCCTCAGCAGCTCAGGTATTTAATCGAGCATTATCACCTGAAAGAAAACCAACAGACATTGAGTTCCTTTAGAGAGCTCCCTTCAGTGTTTGCTTGTGCTTTCTACAGAAGGCAGCGGCTCTGGAAACCTCAGCACATCGTCCAGCTGCAGTGAGACATACGCAAACCTATCAGAGCCCAAACCCTGAGCTCCTCTGCACTTCTGTCAAGGAACCGCTGTCCTGAATGCCAGCATCATGTGGCTGCATCCTCTGTGCTGTAATACCAACATCACTAGTCCTGCATTTTGCACAAAAGCTGTATGTTTGTCATTGTTTCTGTCACATGCATACGTACACCATGCAGCTTCATAAGGATGTAACATAATCCTGTAAGCGTGTTACCGGTGTGGTAAATACTCCTCCGTGTAGTAAAGTGATCTGGTTACAGTTATTTTTATTATTTACATCTTAGATGTATGAGTGGACCAGCAGGACTGAGATCTGTTGATGCATCTATTTATGTTCAGAACTCAAACAGGGGAAAGTTAGATTTTCTTCTTTCTGTGTTTTTAAATTAAGGGACAAAAAAATACAGACATGCAGATCATTTAGTTTTATCAGCTCAGTATTTATGTACATGTAAGGCACACCCATTTGTATTTCTTCCCAATCCTGTTTCCACTTGTCTGCTGTTTGTCTGTCAGGCTGTCTGTAGAAACCGGTTTGGCTGTCCGAACTTTCTTTGTGAAATATCATTAATGCAACAAATGGTTTCCGAGTGTGAAAACCCAGAGACCCCTGTGTATAGTGCTAACTCCTTCCTGTGCGTGAGGGAGAAACGGGGGGTCATGTTCTGAATGTAGATATTATGTAATAATATACTGTCTGTTACAAAATATTTGTTAATGAAATTGCTATATTGTACACTGAGTATGGTGATGTCACTACCTGGTGACTTGTCATTTTTTTAAATAAACAAGCTGTAATAAATCAGTAACTTTTTTTTTTCTTTTTTAATGAATTGCTGAAAATAGAACTGAAACTGCCTCTAATGTGTTTTTAGATCGTCGTTTTAAACATAAACCTGCAACTGATGATGGGACCCACAGTAGAGGATGGCTTTTAAAAACATTAACTGCTTTGACTGAGTAAACATGGGTCTGTTAGTAATAACCTAAAGCAAGAATTTTGCAAGACAGAGCAAATGCTTTGGAAAATTTAACTTTTTTTGATGGAAAAAAGTACTGTTAACATGAAGGACATAAAATATCGAACATCCAAATTAAGGAAAGTATTCAAATGCATGTTTAAGTAACTCACTAATTAGACTTAGACAAGTTTGACATTTTGTATAAACAGAGTGTATGCAAAACAAGATTTCATTTACACAGTGAATGAGCAGCAGCATAGCAGTGAAAAGGAACATTTCCAACATGGTGCAAAAACGCATTGATGTGAAAGTTCAGAGCAGTGCAAAAACAAACAAATTTATGGTGCAAAAATGCAGTAGAAAAAGATTTTTGAGTTGAGTTGTATTTGGTATGATGTTATCAGTGTGATTCAGAGTCTCAATTTGTGACTTTATTTAGTCATTGATGACATGAGGTTTTTAATTTGATGTGAGAGGAGGACAGTTAGAGATGGTTTGAAGGGTTAATCTGATCAGAGATCGATGTTGTTAATCGACTAATTCAGTGCATATGTTGCTGGTTACTCCAGTTAGATTCGCACACACACACGTGAATCCAAGATTTTAAGTGAAAGTCTGGGTATTGCATTTTTTGTTTCCAAATTTCATAACAGTAAATATATGAATAAATGTTGAATATATATATATATATATATATATATATATATATATATATATTGTTATATATATATATATATATATATATATATATATATATATATATATATAAAACACCCTGTGTAATAACCCTGTGTAATGATCCTACTGTTAAAAAAAAAATACACAAATAAAAATCTCTCACATAGGGATGCACTGTATATAAGATAAGATTTACTTTATAGTCCCAAAGGAAATTTGAGTACAGACTCTGGCTGCTACATAGTCCAAACTATATGTCACACTGCATTAAAATTCCATTATAAGACAATAAATAAATACCTAAGGAAGCATGTTACATTACATTAACAATAACAAAAATGTATAAAAATCCTTCTTTAAAAAAAATCTGTTATGTGAGATAATGAATACCAAAAAAAGCATGTCAGTTTAGTTTAAATTTTGAATTTTGAATACCATTGCCTATTACACAATTTACTGCTTGATACTGTTTAATGCCTTAATGGAAAGTGGAACATATATCATGCACCTTTTACTTCATTTGGCACATTTGTCTTCTTTGATTATGTGAGCTGATGTAACCATTAAATTTCTCCACTGTGAGATCAATAATCAATCAATTACTGTCATAATTAGATCAATTGTCTGTCTTCTTTCTATATCGGTATTCTTTCTATTAAAGTAAAAGTCAATATGCTGATGCCTTAATAAAAGTTTAGCACCAGAATTGTTTTATTTACATGATTAAATTAAAAATGCCATTCTAATTCACACTCCATGCCAGGAGGCGGCGATAAAGCAGCAAAGAGTTATTCTCTAGCCGCCAAAAAAATATAAACCGAAGAAGGTGAAAAAGAAAAGTGAAGGAAATCGAAACTGTAGGTAGGAGGGGTTTAGGAATGACTCCAGGAAAGAAACCTGCAGGCGAAAGTCGATGTGAACTGACGGTTTATTTTCAGAGAAATGAGCCGAGGCTGCGCAGTGACCTGCGTCCTCTGCGGTCGCTCCCAGGAATGTCCAAAAACCGGAACCTTATCGACCAAAGACCAGATCACGGCGCATGAGAACTGCCTGGTAAGAGCATTCATTTCAGTCATTTGCTGACCAGCTGAGTGAGCCAACCATCGGTTCGCAGGAAGTATGAAAAGTTTTTTAAAAAATGGCGCTAAGTCATGTATGAAGATGTTCGCAATATGACTGATGTGAACTTTGATTTAATTAGAATGAAAATTGAAACAAAACTTACTGAATTGAAGAGATTGAAATGCGCAGTTCTTCAAGAAGTCAATCATGAAAAAAGTGCAGTTTGTTGATTTTATCTTTGAGAAAAACAGACTTTCAGACTAATGCAGGCGGATGAAATTTAAAATAGGATAATCCACATTTAATTCTTTAAGCAAAATAGTTTCTATATCTTTATTTGCTTTAAACTGAAACTACCGTATAATAGTTGAAATGTATGGAGGACCTGGAGCCAACCGGGGGAACGCGGTCCCCTAGTGGTCCTTGAGAGTATTGCATGGGTATATGAAAATATTTTCTTAGGTAGTAAAAGTAAATATGGCAGAGATCTGTTCTGCTTTGTTGAGATCCAACTGAAAAATTAAACAAGCTTTAATGAACCAAAAAGTAAGTTTTTCTTTGAGTTCACCTTCAGCTCTGACATCCAAACCAAGCAGAGGAACATCCTGGATGTAGAGAACAGCCTGGTGCTGAGCTATCAGAGCTCATCAAAACAAGCCTGGATGTCTGGATTAAAACAAAGTAAAACCGATTAAGTCAGTCTATTGTTTATGTTCTGCATTACTTTACCAATTTATCAAGTTTATATGTATATAAAAGGGAGTTACTCAAAGGAGCTCCAGTTTTATAATTACAGGTTTATGACTGTATTTTGTACTAGTGGCTTTTTTGTATGAAGGACCAATCCTGCCATAATTAAAAATAAATGCAGATATAAATAAATGCTCCAAAAATAAATAAGCATACAATTAATTGCCCCTCTAAAAAATACAATAAAAAATATATGTAGGATGAAATTAAATTATACAGTGAGACATATATGTATATCTTTTAATTAGCTTCTTTATTTATTCACCTTTGTAATAATTTATTTATTTATTGTCCGTTATATGCTTCAACTTTATTTATTTATTACATATTTCTTTAAGTATTTATTTATGTGCATGTTATAATATTTTTGTCTGGTTTATTCTTCCTTTGTATTATTTTTTGTTACCGTTTCCCAAGAGCTGTTTCCCAAATCAAAAGCTAACTTAAGCTTAGTAACACCTCTTCATACAGTCAACACTTTTTACTTAAATACAATCCTTAAAACTGTCCTAAAACATAAGAGGCAGAAAGAATTGTATTTATCTTAATGTTCTGCATTTCTAAGGCTGGCTTTATCACATTGCATTGCAGAATAAAATACATTTATTAAAATTTTAAAAATCTCAAGGAGTATACTGTAATAAGCAATAATAAGCTATATTTTTTCTAACATTAAAATTACATTTATATTGTTGTTGTTTTTAAACCTATTTTCCTTTGTTAATTTCCAGCTCTTTGCTTCGGGCATTTTTTGCACCAGCACGCCACAGTTTGACGACCTGTTTGGCTTCTCTGTCACAGACGTGCAGAAGGAGGTGAAACGAGGACGCAAACTGGTAAAGGGAGAGAAGTCTATTTAGTTCAGAACAGATTCCTCCTGATTGCTGGACTCACTTTAGTTCTTTGGTCTGCTTTTTCTCTTTTAGACCTGTAGCGGCTGCAAAAAAAAGGGGGCCACAGCAGGGTGCGAGGTAGGACGCTGCAAGAGGACTTTCCATTACCCGTGTGCTGTCGAAGGGGGAGCCAAGACGTTTGAGAATAATGACGATGGGAAATATGGGTCAGTTCCGATCTAATGCATCGATATCGTGGAGAAAATTCTGTTTTTATTGACTTTCTTTCTGTTGTGCAACAGACTGTACTGCGTGCGCCACAGTAATACAGGTAAGGAGTCAAAGCTGCATGTTTTATTATTATTTTTGTTTTGTTTCTTTTTTTAATAAATTATTTGTCAATTTTGATTTTCTTCCTAGAAAACGGCAGTTCGGAAAATAAACGCAAAAAGTCCCCATCCTTCAAGAACCCCGGCGAAGTTGCATCGCTCAAAGTTTGTTTTCAATTTTATTAGCAATTCTTATTTATATATTAGGTTGAAATAATGTGCTGTTGCTGTTAAAAACAGTTTTAATGGTGATTTCCTTTCAGTTGAAAATGAATCTAAATCCTTTTGAGGGTTTTGGTCTTTAGCACAGCTTTTATACCAAATAATGATTTCCATATTTTGTTCATTATGAGTCGTATTGCCTTACCTGTGAGAAGAAGGAAGGAAATATCAGCTTGGATGGTTTACGTAACACCATCGTTATGTGAGTATTTCACTAAGATCAGCTGTTTTGTTTCATATGGCAAGTGACTGATAAGATGTTTGTGTTTTTAAGATCGTACTGTGACAAACATGCTTCTTCGACTCAACAGAGGAGAGCCAACAGTAGGATCTCTTTAAGATTTTCATATCCTCTTGTTTTTCCATTTTTTAATTTCAATATATTTCTGTTAAATCTTCTTAAATGTTTTGCAGATCCCTCAGCTTCTAGAACCTCATCTTCTTGCAGCAGTGACTCATCCAGTGCACCGCTTACTTCTATCAAGGTATTAAATCATTAAACTGCTTTTAAGACCATTTATTCCTTGACCTTCTTGTATTTCTTATTGACCAGATGTTTGATTGTGTTTCGTTCTTGTTTTTCCAGAGACAGCTGAGTTTCAATGAGTAAGTTACCATGTTCATCAAAGCTTTTCTGAAACCAACTTTTTCATTAATGTTTTCTTCTTTATGCTATATCTTATAACTGTTAAATCAGATTTGAATTTTAAAAAAAGGTGAAAATTCTACCATCAAATAATGTCAAATGTTGTTTTTCTTGTTAGTATTTAAAATTTTTCTTAAAAAATTATACCAGAAATGCCTCTGACAGATAATAGAATATAAACTCCCTTTATTGTCCCACAATGGGGAAATTCTGGTGTTTACAGTAAAACGATTATAGAAAAAAACAATCACACAAATGTGGACCTTAGAAATAAGAACAACATGATAGTGAAGAGTTAAAAAATAATCGGCAGCCCTGAGAAACTAGCTTCATCTCAGCCATAAGTGCAAGTAGAATCTAATAATAATCTAAGGCTGATTCTAGAAAACTACAGTGGAATCTGCTTATAGTGTTCAAAAGGCTTGGGACAGAATAATTTCTATACAAATGCTGTTTAAATAATTTGTTTACAGTAATCAAGAAATCCGCTTATTGTGTTAATTTTTGGTCATTTTATGGATGTAAACGTGCAAAAATAATAAGTGGATCGAAAGTGATGACAGCACTCAGGTGTCAGAGCCTGTGACGGATGAGAGCATCATCATGGAGGTACAAGAGCTATTTGGTGTGGGTACCAGTGCTGCGCGCACCAAGGAGGATGAGGATGTGGAGACTGTTTTCTCTTCCAGAGCTTAGATGAGGAATGCAGTTTGCATTTTAAAGACTGGTCTCCTGCATGTTGGTTTCAAAAACTTTGACCTTTTATATCGTTTTGAAAAAGAAGTGAACTTGGTGTTGGACAACACTGATCCAAGGAACCATGGATAAATATGTGAAGTGATTTCTTAATGCGGCGCAGAAGATCTGCAACACAAAACAGACGTCGGCTAGCTTTAATTTTCTGTAGCCTATGCAGTTATCTTCTATGTTGTTGTTCTATTACCATTTGTGTCAAACTTCAGACTTGTTAAAAATAAAAATGCACCAGCGGTAGCAGTCTACCAGAGTTATATCTGCGCACAGCACAGTATACTGTCATTAAACTTTTATGGTAATGTAATAAAATTCAGTAAATGCAGAAGCTACCCATTTCATTTTATTTTTCTCATTGAGAAATTTAGATGATATTCTGCATAAAAAATAAGTGAAATAATGGAAAATTTGTATAGAGTAATCAACCGCTTATTGTGCTCAAATTGGCTCTGGAGTGGACCAATGTGATCACTATAAGCAGATTCCACTGTAGTTTGAAAATCTAAATCAAAACAGGTGAAACAAAACATTTCCACTTGGGGTGTTCTGGCTATATCATACTGATAAAGTTTTTTTCTTTTATCTTGAATTAAACAATTTTGTTAATATGTTTTTTAACAGTTTTGTTGTAATTGCTGCTCAAAGCGGTTTGTTCTGTCAGCTAAGGGGATGTTTTAGAGTCCAGTTCCACTAAACCATTAATTGATTACTAAAGTTGTTGACACTTATTTTAATAATCGATTTATCACGATTAATTTCATTAATTGTTTCAGTCTTAGCTAATTCCTGGATGATATAACTGCTTTCCTTCATCTGGCCAGATGTAACTTTTTTTTCTTAATTTCATTGAAGTTCTGGACATACGTCTTTCTTTTTGGCTCTTTAGTGCTATGGTTGAGGTGAATGGTCTACACATCATTTTAAAAGAATTTTTAACAAAATCAGCGCTTTTAATGAGAGTGGATCATTGATCAGGTGTGTTGAAGTTTCAGCCACATGACTGAAAATGTTCAGGAACCATCAGAGTGAACTAGAACAACAACAACCTGGAGCAAGAAAAAGAGTGAAAATATTTTTTGACCTGTAATTTTCTGAAATGACCACAACCTTTAGCGCTAATATGAATTATGAACTAAAGTCAAAGCAAAGCTCCTGTTGGAAAGCTACAGATGTTGATTCCTTTGACCTTCTCCTTACAGGGAAGAAGAGAAAAGCCCATCGAGTAGAAGATCATTTAAAAGGAAAAGGATATTATCCGATTCTTCAAACACAGGTTCAGACTGTTACATTAATTCAAACTAATGCTGCTTTGTTGGTTTAATTCATGCGCTCTCCCTTTTTCTACAGACGAGGAAGGACTTTTGCCTCCATTAGAGTCAGATTTGGAGGATAGTGTACAGGAGCAAGAAGTAGGTCTGAGCTTTTATTGTTTGATGAATTAACTGGAGGCTGGAGATGTTAAATGCTGTGATATGTTTGGTCTTTTTTTAGTCAGCTCAGTCCCTTCCCATCAGGTAACAACTGCTAGATTTTTTTATTTTCATTGGAAATGGTGATCAAATAATAAAAAAAAAGGCTTCTTTTATTTCAAACATCAATTGTCTTAATGCTCTCCTCTTGCAGCAAGTTCTCTAAAAACCCTCCAGGTTCCTCAGCAGGTAAACCTGCACAGCAGTTTTAGCAGAAAAATAAATCAAAATTAATGTTTCTTTCAACCTTGGGCTGTTTTTGTTTCTTTGTTGTTGTTTTTTTTAGGGATTCCGGCGGAGAATGTGAACACAGATGTACACAACGAAGAGAATGAAACACTCGTACATTCTGTGAGTTCTCTTTGCTTCATTTCTTTTACCGATTTGATATTTGATTATTTTTATGGAGAACGCAAGCAGCTTGACGGCGTTGTGATGTCAGCCACTGGTTTAATTTTGGGGGGCACACAGGGGACATGCCCCCTGCACTTTTTCAAAAGTCCGTTACGCTACAGTACGCAGACATTCATCGAGCACTAGGACCAAGCAGAAAACCACAGCTCAAGCTGAAGCCCGCGACCCTCAGTTTAGACCGCCCACAAGCTCCTGATTGGCCGTCGGTCCTTTCTTTTGTGATTGGCTGTTACATCTGTCACTCCTGAGAAGCTCACCCTACCAACGTCTGATGCACCACTGAAAAAACGTGGCTCTGCAAAAAACGACTGTAAATTAGGCATTTCTTTCATTTGGTCACATAAACTATAAGGGTTATGATTAGGGATGCACGATATAATCGGCCCCCTATCGGTATCGGCCTTAGAACTGAATATCGGACATCGGTCACCCCACCGATATTTAACCAGATATTTGATCAGCTTCTGAGTTTCTAAAGTCTAAAAAAAAAAAAAATACTACTTCTTCTTCTTCCTAAAAAACTTCTTTTTTACAGACTTAAAAACTTCTAAAGACGAGGGAAAAAATATTAATACATTAAAATATCACAATATCTTCATATGCTGATATATTGCCATTTAAAAACACCATATCAATCTCTTTTACTAATGAAATATTGCTATATGTCAT